AGCCTGTTGCATTTATTAACAGCAGCCTGAGCTAAGACACCAGGTAAGAAGAAAAAGGTTGGGAGGCGGGCTGGTTCATTGAAATGAGTTATGAACAGAGGTCAATAAACACATAGGAATCAACATAAACAGCATTACCTGCATGCCAAGGCCCAGGAGGAAGTGTGAGGATATCAGGAAAGGACAGTCCCTGGAGTCCCGCGAACACTGCAGTTCCACAACCACAGATTCCTGGCCTCCCTCCATTCCCACCTGGAAAATAGAAGAAGCTGCACTCGGGAAACATCAGACTACATGTGCCATTTGAAAATGTTGATTATAATTATAAAATAATATATGTTCATTTAGAGATATAATTTAGAAAATACAGAAAAGTATCAAGAAGAAAATTAAAATCTCCTAAAATCCTATGACAGCAATATAATCACTATTAATATTTTGATATGTTTCCCTCCTGTATTTTTGCCATACCATAAATAGATCTGTATATGTTTACACCATACCATTTTTCATGTTTTCTTTATCAAAGAGGGAAATGTTATTTTCAAGTTACATTTTATTAACATATCTCAAAATACAAATGGAACATCACTTTGAAGGCTAGTGTCGATTTATATCTATACGTATATTTTAGAGACAAAGGTCTTGCCATGTTGCCCAGGGTAGCCTCAAACTCTTGGGCTCAAGAGATCCACCTGCCTCAGCCCCCTAAGTAGCTGGGACTATAGGCGAGTGATGCCACACCAGACACTAGTGTTGATTTTTATTTGCATGACTTTGTGGGGGGGGAAAAAAGATTTTGTTTTTCTAACACAAAAGGGATGGAAATGCAACATAGTGTAAATACTTAGTGTCAAACCTTCCCTTTCTAAATACAAGAAACTGTTAATAACAGGGAAGAGGACTTTTATTTTTAATGCTGTATTGATATTTTGTACTGTTTAAAATTTTTGCTATGAACATGCATTACTTTTATAATATAAACACTAAAAATTAAACATTAAATTATAAACATAAACATTTTCTTGACTATTAAAAATCAGGTCCAGATGCAGTGGCTCACGCCTGTAATCCTAGCACTTTGGGGGGCTAAAGAGGGAGGATGGCTTGAGCCCAGGAGTTCGAGACCAGCAACATAGTGAGACTTTGTCTCCACAAAAATAAATAAATAAATATATAAATAAAATCAACTCATATTTTAAGGAATATATGATATTCAGGATATGCCCAATTTTTCAAAACTGAGAAAATGATCGAATAGGAAAAACACTCAGAAGACATTCAAACAGGTTTTTTTTTTTTTTTTTTTTGCTAACTGGAAACCAGATTCTTACTTTCTCCAAGGTGTTATATTTTGCAACTTCAAAATCTTGAGGAAGATGAGGAATTTCAACATTCTCTGTACCAAACCTGAAATTTGTACAGCGTATAATTAAAATTTTAACATTAAATGGATTTTAGGTTAAACAGAATTTCATACAATTTTTCTTGTACATCTTTACAAAATACATGATAGATTCCTTACAAAATACATGGTAAGTCCCTAAGGCCTCCTTAGCTGTTCCAGAAATTGTTAAAAGATCATTTGAAATGAGCTGGATGCCTCCTCTGCATAATTCTCCAGCTCAGATACCCAGTACTGTAGCGTCTGCACGGGAAGATGGTGTCCACGCAGCACAGGCAGAGGCAGAAAGAAGTGGGCCACACACTCTGGGGATGGGCTACTTGTGTTTGCTGTGGATCTGACCCTTAGAAGCTATGTCACTCCTCTCCAGATCACAGTCCATTTCTCTCTAAAATGAAGGAGTCAGAACTTCTCATAATCTGTACTTTTCATTTTGTATTTTCTTCTCTTTAAACACTATTATTAACAAATACAACAAGATTGAATGCGATGCCTAATTAACCCAATATTTTGCATGTGCTTTAAGAAGCCATATAGAACTTTAGACTCCCGTACTCCATTTGAGGAAGGCTGTTGCTATTTCCATTTTTGAAAATACCAGGCAAAAGTAACAAACTATCTTTACTCTAAAGGCTGCTCAGGAAAGTAATAGGATGAAAATAGTTTTTTTTTTTTTAATCTAATAATTGCACCCAATCTCATTTAATACTGAGAATTTAAAATAATGATCACTATACTAGTTGAAGAAAAAGACTCAAATAAAAAATCACTAAAGAGTTATATACACAAAATAAAATATGAAAAAGTCTACAAACAGAATTTTAATACTATGCTTGAGGTTTACACAAGATTTTGCAAACTCTGTAGAGTCCTAGGAATCAGAAGGAAGAAAATTACTCAGTGAGTTCCACCGTGTCTTCCTCCTCTGTGGCATTGTCCGGGCACAGACCTTCTGTTTTCACTTCTAGAATTAAAGCAAACAGCACACTTGTTTACTGCCCAAAGGCTTATTATATTTCCTTAACCTAAGTGCTGGAATTGTTAACATTCATAAATATGTCCTTCAATTAGTTACAATTTTGGTGATCTAAGGATAACGCGGTGGGAAAAGAGGAAGGTATACTATTATAAGAGGAAGGTATACATTGTAAGAGGAAAGTATAACATTATAAGATAGTGAGAACATCCTCTAATTCTATCTTAACAGGCATATCAGGAGAATTCTCATCTGTTATTATTTGAAACTCAGAGAGCCATACAATTTTCAGTGGGCACTTCTCTCTTGAAGAGTACAAAGTGCACAGGATCAGAATGAGTTCCCGAGAGTCGGCACATCACCAGCGAAGGAGCTGGAGATGTTCTAGCTTAGAAGAGGGAAAGTCAGGGGCTCTACATGAGCTTTTGCTTCATACTTTTTGTACAGAGAAACAGAAACACCATCTAGAGCACTGTGATATATAGGAATAACTCTTCATGTGAGGACTTCTTTCCAGTTTTATTTATACTGTCAAGATTCCAAAGATCATCAGTGTATTTGTAGTAATTTGGAATCTGAGTAAATTATGCTGGCTGTCATACAATATGTTTTCAATGTGAAAGGAGTTTACTATTTTGTCTATTTCTGTTGTAACTATCATTTGCTGGGACATGCGCTGGGACTGCAGCAGCCCTTCTGGACGATTGTCTAAGGAGGCTCTACCCTGCCAAGTCCTTACGGTATCTAACACATACCATGTGCTTACTGTAAGTTAGTATTTATCAGAACTGTTCGATTTTTGATGTGACTAGGAAGAGTGCATTTCTCATGTCCAAAGGCTTTCTTCTTGGCCAGTTTCCAAAATAAAATCTGGGTTTATAAAGAAAATATGTTTCTGTTGGGGAAACAATCTTTTGTTTGGAAAGAATTTCTTTAGCAAAATGCTGGTCCTCACATTTCCAGTCATTAGGTTGTAGTAACCACTGTTTAACACCAAGGCTTTTCCCTCCCCTAGTTAAAATCACAATCAGGTTTTCTGAGATGATCAGTGTTTTGTGGCCATTTTGAATCTGACCGTACTGGGCTGGATATCAAGAAATCTGTTTCCATTGCTAAAGTAGTTTTTTGTCCTTTGTTATTTTTCTGTCCATTTGCTGAGGTAATGAGAAGTCTGTTTTTGTAGTATTTCTGGTCAATTCTCTGTCTATGATATCTTTGACAAACCCAAGTCTGTCCTATAGTACCTATGATACATTAAACGCTTGCTGTGAGATACCTACCAGGACCGCTCGCCTTCTGATCAGGAGGTGGTGTGATGTCCAGGGGCTTATTAGGATCATAATTCTTTACATCCAAGAGTTTCTTTTCTCTGATAGATTCCCATATAAAATCTGGGTTTGCAATATGAACGTGGTTCTTTTGGATAGAATTCAGCTGGTACTGACTCAGAACATCAGCATTGTCTAAGATTACATGTGTGCACTAAGGAAAAAAAGAGTCAATCCATTATGCATCAGGAAAAACAACATTTCAGTAAGTTTTTTGTATCTGTAATCTTCACCCTTAAAGAGTCTTGTTTTAAGGTAGTTTGTGATCATTTTTCTCAAATTTCTAAAAACCTCTATAAATAACAAAGTTTCTAGTTACACAAACATTTTAAAAATCAAGTGTTTTTAAAGAATATGGATACGAATGTACCATAATTGATTAACCCTGGAGGTTATTTCTAAATTTTCATTATTGTAAACAATGCTGTGATGACTATCCTCATGTACACATCTTTGTGCACTTGGTCAATTATTTTCTTAGTAGTGGAAACGGAGGTGCAGAGGTTACTCATTATTTTAATTTGTAATTTTAAAAAATCTTCTTTTTTTGTAGAGATGGGGTCTTGCTGTGTTGACCAGGCCGGTCTTGAACTCTCAGCCTCAAGTGATTCTCCCATCTCAGCTGGGTTTACAGGCATGAGCCACTATGCCCAGCTTATAATTTTATTTATTTTTTAATAAACAGTAAATTCACATTGTAGAATATCTAAAAAATAAAATAAAAATGATGACATGTTAACTTCATCCTCACTGTTGTTCCCAGTTCCTCTCTGCAGAGGCACCTGCTGTCACTTGCTCCTCACAAATCCTGTAGAGCTACACTGTGCATAGACACATGGCAGCGTGCTACTCAGCCTCTTCCGTGCTGGCTTTTCCACTGAATTTATCTTGGCAATTGTTCCTCATCATTACATATAGAGCTGCCTCCTTCTCTACAGGAGCTGGGATGCACATTTCACATGTTTATGTACATTGACTTCCACAAGGTTGCACTCACAGTATGTGAGTTTCTAAAGAGGAGAGACCATGTTGGCAGTTCTCCACACAGAAGACAAACTGAGAAGGGAGAGCAGGTATGAATTATTCATCTGTCCACAGAGATGGTGAGACAGCTCAGTGTGGGAAGCCGTATAAGGGAAGTACATACAATTCTACCTGAAATGGAAGTAAACAGGGACACTGCATTTCTGGTATTCAGCTGGAGTTGAACACGCTTCACAGAACAGATGAGGCTCACTATGGCCAAGCCCCAGAGCTGAGGCCTATGGAGGGGCAGGCTGAGTCAGCTCATCAATCCGTCAGCAGAGGGAACAGCAGAAGACAGGGACAGGCCAGTCTGGCACCTAGAGCCTTTGGATTTCTATTTTTACTTCTTACAGTGAGGTGGTTTAAAAAAGAGGAGGTTAGACTGAATTATTTCCAAGATTTCATCTAGCTGTAAAATCCTATTATTCTGAACTGCCAGGCTTACAAGTTCAAGAGGCAGAAAGTAGATTCCTGCAGCCTTTAAATGAACAAAACAAACAGCACAAGCTGCACTGCGAAGATGAGTCTGCACTGCATGTCTTTCTTTCTGCCCCCAGGAACCTGGCTCACCAGTGGATCACTCCAGTGTTGACAGACTGGTGAGTGACGACAGTGCACTTTTTGCAAATCCTGTGCACTATGACTTTTCTCCTTCAAGAATAGATATGGCTGGTCTGAAATTCTATTTTCATATTTGGCTGTGCTCTAGTAATATCCTATTTCACAGGACATGTAGGACTGTCCTGCAGTTCAAGGAAGAGAGAGAGGACAGGGCTGGGCCTCCTCTGCCTCTCGGGGCCCAGCCTCCCAATGGGCCATCTCACAGCCTCTCCTGATGAACTTCGAGTAGCTCACTGTCTCCTGCTGCTAATCTCTGCTTCCTCTTCTAACCAAGACCCCGTTCCCCAAATGTGCGCTGTTTTATCACACTGTGGTTTATGACATTTGGAAATACCTGAGGATTTAATGAAAAGGAAAACTTTCCACCGTTTTCCTTAATGTCAGTTTGTAGCTTTTTCTTCTGCTGCCGAGGTAAGTACTTCACTTTCAAACAGAAGATACAATTTGCAAAGATTCCCATCATCATCCTGTAGGAAAAAAGTTTTTAAGGACTCGCTCTGAAGTAAATATAATTGACAGTGAATTTAGATTATACAAGCAAACTGTGGGAAAATTGGGCATTGTCTTAAGAAAGATATTGTAATCATGTTATCAATTGAACATTGCAAAAGCTGAATAATATCCTAGCTTGCAATATGTGTGTTGGTTTAAGAATCATTTCTAACTTTTATGATTGATATTACAACACCAAAAATCCCTTTGTACAGGCTCATAATATACATCTGAATAAAAACATGACAGATTTCAGTTACAGATCAAGTGTGTGAGTCCAGAACATGGAACCATTTACTTCTAAATTAAAAATTAATATTATTTGATAGTGAAACCCTGGGTTTTTTATACATAATTCTATGCATTCAAAAAGACTCTTTATGTGGGTTTCTGTTAGGCCATTCTGGGGAAAAACTGAACAACTGGTAATAAAAATATACAACTATGTTTAAATGGAATATGTATGTGTACGTATACACACATATATATTCTGCATTTGGGTTAATTCTTTTTTTTTGTTGTTTTTTTTTTTTGGAGACAGAATCTCACTCTGTCACCCAGGCTGGAGCGCAGTGGTGTGACCTCAGCTCACTGCAACCTCCGCCTCCCTGGTTCAAGTGATTCCCCTGCCTCAGCCTCCTCCTGCCTCAGCCTCCCGAGTAGCTGGGACTATATGTGCGCACCACCACACGTGGCTAATTTGTGTATTTGTAGCAGAGACGAGGTTTCACCATGTTGACCAGGCTGGGCTCAAACCCAGCCTCCCAAAGTGCTGGGATTACAAGTGTGAGGCACCACACCCAGCCTGGGTTAATTTAATTCATTTACTATGCCATGCATTCTCAATTTTGTATTGAAATGTGTATTTAACAATAAATTAATACATGGTGAAAAATTGGGTTTAATTTCCACTAACTATTTGTAAATTTTTTTTTTTTTTTTTGGAGACAGAATCTCTCTCTGTCACCCAGGCTGGAGTGCACTGGTGCAATTTTGGCTCACTGCAACCTCCACCCCCTGGATTCAATCAATTCTCCTGCCTCAGTCTCCCAAGTAGCTGACATTACAGGTGTCCACCAAGACACCTGGCTAATTTTCGTATTTTTAGTAGAGTCGGGGGTTTCACCATGTTGGTCAGGCTGGTCTTGAACTTCTGCCCTCAAGCGATCTGCCCACCTTGGCCTCCCAAAAATCTGGGATTACAGGCGTGAGCCACCGCGCCTGGCTCTTTTTTTTTTTTTTTTAAAGACAGGGTATCACTCTGTTGCCCAGGCTGGAGTACAGTGGCAGATCTCAGCTCACTGCAATCTCTGCCCACTGCAATCTCTGCCTTCCGGGAAGGGAAGGTGAGGGTTAAAGAAAGACAGACAGACAGACAGACACACACACACACATACACAGAGGGGCAAGGGAGAGGGGGAGAGAGAGAGAGAGAGAGAGAGAGAGAGAGCGCGAGAGAGCAAGAGAGAGAGATTGAGAGATTTAGAGATTGAGAGACTGAGATTGCAAATGCAGGCTTTATGTCCAGCATAAAACCTACAGAAGTAGGGGAGCAGCCTAATGCCAGAGCCCGCTGCTGCCTACAGGCTGACAGTACTTAGAGGTATGGGCGGGAAGAGTCTGGGTAGTATGGCTTGTTGCCCCGCAGGATATCAATAAGATGTTCGCATGATTTGTATTGATTTGTAACCCGGAATAAGGGTTCTGGCCCTTATTCAGGCGGGATGTCATCGTGGCGTTCCTTGGACCTTTGCCTAGCAAGAGATGAGAGGGATGTTTCTTTACATGAGTCTTTGTTGGCCTTGTGGTCAGGTGGTTGGGAAGGATGTTTCTCACCACCCCAACCTGGGAGAACTGTTTCACCTTGACCAAGGTCTGCAAAACAGCGGGGAGTTTACAAAATGTTACAGTTTGTGCTAACGCCGGGTTCAAGCAATTCTCCTGCCTCAGCCTCCCGAGTAGCTGGGACTACAGGCGCCCGCCACCACCATGCCCGGCTAATTTTTTCTATTTTTAGTAGAGACAGGGTTTCACCACGTTGCCCAGACCAGTATTTGTCAATTTTTAAAAGCAAGGAGTCACGTCTAACAGGCTCCCCCAAAGTAAGCTGCAGTTTGGCAAAGCGGTTCCCAAGTCCTGTGCTAGTTTGAGGATCGCGGTTGCAGGTCCTGTGTTAGTTTGGGTAGGCAGGGCAGGCTCTCTGCTGCGGCCCCGCGCGTCTTGGGACTAAGCTGAGTCGCTGCAAGGCCACAGCCCTGCACCGCGGTTGGGCTCCGCATTTCTCCTTTACTCTGCCTGCCCTTTTACCTCCTGCTCCCACAGGCCGGAGGCCCCGCCCTACCTAGGACCTTTGCCCTGTGTGTGTTGGAGCCCATTCCCTGGGCTCCTAATTGAGGACACAATGCCAGTGCCTCCGTGACACCTCACTTCTGGGTCTCCTTGGTACCACAGAGGCGCCACATCCCCAGCCCAGGCCTCCTCCTCCCCTCTTGGCTGGAGACAACCACTGGGTGCTATTCGTGACTCCCTGCACCCCCACCTCCTTCTGCCAGTTGTATCTCTTCCATCACAGCCCCGGATACAGCCCCAATCTATAGAACTTGTCCCTCCTGCTGCCACCCTGGCCCAGGCCCTCTCATCCTGACTGGCTCCCACTCCTGTTGCGCCTGCGGTTCAATCTCTTCTCCACGCTGCAGCTTGAGGAATCTTGGTTTTTGGTTTTAAATTACATTTCAGATAACATACAAATTGCTTATCATGGTTCAAGGCCAGCAGCTATCTCATTCCCTCCTGGCCACACTAGCCTTTTTTCTTCAGGAGGAAGAAACCCACAGCTTGGTCCTCCAAGTCTTGACACATGCTGTTATATCTTATAGTTCTTCTCCCCGGGACCCCCAGCCCTTCCTCACCCCATGCTGTCTCCCCCATCCAGGACACAATGAATGAACATATTAAGGATTCATATTTTTAAATCTTTCTTTTGAGGTCCAGTTAAACTGAAGTCTCTTGATGTAATTCTGCCTTTCCATAACATTAGTATGTGAAAGTTTCATTTGCTGACTGCCTCTTACATTCAATAATTAGCATATGTGCATAGATAGGAGGGATGAAATGAGGGGTACCTTAAAAGAGATTACACCGGGCCAGGCGCGTTGGCTCACGCCTGTAATCCCAGCACTTTGGGAGGCCGAGACGGGCAGATCACAAGGTCAGGAGATCGAGACCATCCTGGCTAACACGGTGAAACCCCGTCTCTACTAAAAAAAATTACAAAAAACTAGCCGGGCGAGGTGGTGGGCGCCTGTAGTCCCAACTACTCGGGAGGCTGAGGCAGGAGAACGGCGTGAACCCGGGAGGCGGAGCTTGCAGTGAGCTGAGATCCGGCCACTGCACTCCAGCCTGGGTGACGGAGCGAGACTCCATCTCAAAAAAAAAAAAAAAAAAAAAAGAAGATTACACCACATTATTTAGGTTAATCTATGCTAGTCAATGTAATCTGACAATTAAAAACAACACACACAAAAACCACTAAAAGCCTTTAATGACTCTTTAATAATTTCCAGGATATTGATGGGTCCTGGATGTGTAAAATCCTCTGACCTGTTTAAAAAGTGTTTCCTGGAAAAGTGATTCATGGTCACTGTCGAAAATATGAAAAACGCAGAATTGTATAACAGCAAAACAAAACAAATCTCAAAACCTAAGGCTACGTTAGCATCTTGTTTTGCATTTTTCTTCTGGGCTTTTTTCTAGGTCTATGTATTATCACACTTTGTTTTTTTCAGACATTCTCGCTCTTGTCACTTAGATGGAAGTGCAGTGGTGAGATCTCGGCTCACTGCAACCTCTGCCTCCCGGGTTCAAGCGATTCTTCTGCTTCAGCCTCCCAAGTAGCTGGGATTATAGGCACCTGCCACCACGCCTGGCTAATTTTTGTATTATTAGTAGAGACGGGGTTTCACCATGTTGGCCAGTCTGGTCTCGAACTCCCAACCTCAAGTGATCCACACGCCTCAGCCTCCCAAAGTGCTGGGATTACAAGCATGAGCCACCACGCCCAGCTGCAGACTATATTTTTTATCAAAACTGAAATTACACTACCTATCTCGCTGTTACCAGTCAGCATCTTGAGCATTTTGTCATTAAATATTATTGGAAAACATTTTTAATGGAGACTATCAAATATGGACTGTAAATGAGTTATTGTTGGAAAATTAAATCATTTCTAATTTTTGGTATCATAAAAAGCTGTGATGAACATCCTTATGTGCAAAGCCTTGTTTCCATCTCCAACAGCCATCTTAGAAAATAATACTTAACTAGAACTATTGAATCAAAGTTTGAACAATTTTTTTGTGTTAAAAGTTAATCACTATGAAGAAAAAATAAAAAGCACCTAATATGATGGGAATGCTCAAAACTAGACTGCGGTGATGGTACACAACTTGCTAAATTATTAAACATTATTGAATTGGGCCAGGCAATGTGGCTCATGCTTCTAAACCTAGCACTTCAGGAGACTAAGTGGAACAGATCGCTTGAGACCAGGAGTTTGAGAGTAGCCTGGTCAACATGGCAAAACCTTATCTCTACAAAAAGTACAAAACTTAGCTGTGCGTGGTGGTACATGCCGATGGTCCCAGCTACTCAGGAGACTTAGGTGGGAGGATCACTTAAGCCTGGGAGGTCAAGGTTGCAGTGAGCTGTGATCACGTCACTGCACTCCAGCCTGGGTGACAGAGACCCTATCTCAAAAAAAAAAAAAAATTATAAAAAAAATTATTGAATTGTACAATTAAAATGAGTAAATTTAATGGTATGTAAATTGTACCCCAATACATTTTTAAATAGTACTTTTTGGATATATAATAGTTGTACATATCAATAAAGTTTTTTTTTAAAAAAAGCACCTGATCCCTCCATCCAGAAATAACCCCACTGTTGATTTTGTTTGTTTTTTGAGCCAGTCCCGCTC